GGGAACCCGCGCGGCGACAGAGTGCGCTCGGCTCGGGCGGGCGAAGCTGGCGGCCGCAGCTCCTCCCCGGCGCCTCCTCCCGCCTCTCCCCGCCCCGCGAAGCCCCCTCCTCGCCGGCCCTACACCTCCCTCTAGCGACTTCAGCAGAGTCCCTCCGGGCTGCTCTCCCGCAGCCGTCTAGGGAGATCGCAGGGAGGGGATGTGCGGAGCGGCGGGAGAGCGCACTTAGGGGACGGGGTGCACCGGGATGTCGCAGTGACCCACGAGGGGTCGGGAAGATGAGGGACGTCTCTAGGCCGGCCACTCAGCCGCGGTGCCGGGGAAGCCGAGGGAGGGATGCAGCGTTGCATCAGGGCGCGGTTGGCGTTTACTGCTCCCCAGACCCGGGTCCCACGTCCCACCCAGGTTGCAGCGATGCCAGCCCAGGCCACCTCTGCTGAGGGCCCCGCTGTCCCTCAGCTAGGGGCGAGGATAGCCCGGGCGCCACGTTTCACTTCAGGTTTTACTGTCCCCTCCTCGCCCTGCTCTCCGGTTGTTTTCCTGACTGGGGCAAGCCCCATAAGCCCTTGCTTGGCCATAAATCCTAATATAATGAAAGCAGAAAGTCCAGCACTCTGCCACACCTTCCTGCCTCTCCCGAGTAAACTCCCCGGTAACCTCAGCAAGTTCTGATAGTAAGCAGGGCTCTCGCGAGACGTCCCACTCGGCTGCCGAGGGGGTGGGGCCCTTGGAAGGTTGGCTGCGGGTCACGCGACCCAGTGGGGGCTGACGTCATTGGCGTCACGTGAGCGTGGCCAGCCTGTTTCGCTTTGCTAGGGGAGAAGGGAAAAGGAGAAGGGACTTCGTGAGTTCTTTGCTTCACGTTCTCACAGAGCACGCCAGGTAGGGCCCCAGGAAAGCACACCGTCAATGGCTATCCAGAAAGCCACCAAAGAGTTCCAAGGTGCCTGCTCTTGGGCAGATCTGCCACTGTTGTTCAAAAATTAGCCTGGAGAAAACACTATCTTGTAAGATAGGTAAGTTGTCACTGGTTGCTAAGACAATTTCTGGGTCTTTAATAAACGTGGCAATTGAAGCGTTAGAGGCCCACAGAAAACAGAAGCATCATGAGGTTTTTTTGTTTGTTTGTTTGTTTGTTTTGCTTTTTCTTTTTTCTCTTCTTATTTCTGCTTTTTGTTCTACAAAATACCATAAAATCCTGCATTCCTATTGCTAATTTGCTCGTTCTTAGAATTACATCAGGCACTTAAAATTTCACAGCAGAAAGGTGATAGATAACTTTCAGTTATGGCGACTGTATATACTTTGTCTCCTGTTCTGAGACGCTCTTTGCTTACTGTCATACATGTTCCTAATTCTTTGATTTCCTGTTTTAAAGAATGCTATTCCGCCTGAACTCAAGTACTCAAGCTAGTCATAAAATCTTTAAATGCTCTTCTGTTGTAGGTTTTTCAAATATTGCTCATACTTCCGCTAGACCTCTCCCCCTCAACACCACAAGAAAATAGTTTTTGCGTTTAGTCATCATTCAATGTCTGCATTGTTCTGCCCATGGAAATGTCGTTTGCTGGCCTGTTTTACTATAACTTTCCCCTCGGGTTTACTTGTATCTTTTGGTATTCTTCCCACGCATTAGATTCCTACTGCGGATTTCCGACATTGCCAAGCACATGGAGTCTACACATGTCCCGTCTATTCTGTATCCTACCTGGAGACCTCTGCCCTTCAAGCTGTCATTGTGGAACACCAGTGGAGAATTCTTGGAAATTCTGATTTTTATGTAACTTTGATTCTTTTGGTTTTTTGTTTTATTTTAAACAAATGTTGTCTTTTACGTCCTTAAATTTGAACACTTATATCTGTTTGGGGCGCGGGGGAGGGGGTCTCTTAGATGGCGTGTAACTCACTATGTAGACCAGGCTGGACTTCAAACTCAGAGGTCTCCCTGCCTCTGCCACCTCAGCCTTGAAATTAAAGGCATGCACCAACACATCTGGCTAAACTTGAACATTTTTAATAACAAAGTCAAAATGCGTTTGGGTCTTAAATCCTGGCCATTAAAGTCAAGGATCGCCTGTATAAATGTAACAATATAGAAAAAAAGATGATACAATAAATAAATAAATAAACAGATGGAGTATTAATAATTAAGCTAAAAATTGAAAGAAAGAATAATTTGGTCTTGGCTCAACATTTTAAATATGTAGCTTAAATAGATGGCTCTAGGTTATAATGTAACAATTTAATATTCCTCCCTTGGATCTAAAAGTGAAAGGAAAAAAATTTAAAATGAACATATTAAAATTTTTCCAACTAGGAAGACAGTTGTTACTTAAGTACCAATTCAGTGAAGTGTACATACATACAGACAGTTATTTAAATACTAATTTGGTGAAGTCTATATGTGTACATCCAGTTATTTAAATACTAACTCAGTGAAGTCTACATACGTACATACAGTTATTTAAATACTGACTCAGTGAAGTTAATTTATGTACATACAGTTCTTAAAATATGAATTCAGGGACATCTACGTATGTATATACAGTTATTTAAATACCAACTAAGTGAAGTCTACGAATGTGCATATAGTTATTTAAATTCTGATTCAGTGAAGTCTAGATACATACAGTTATATAAATTACCTCAGCTATTTATAAAACGGCAACTTTAAATGGTTAGAATATTTTTAGCACAACTAAAAAGGTAACTACATTAGCTATATCAGTAACAAATTAGTATTATTAGATAATGAACTTTTACATTTTTATACAAATAGTGTTTAATCTATATTTGTTTCATTTTTTTGATCTGCATTGTGGTCTCATTCAAATGTTCCTCTTATTTAATTTTATTTCAGTTATTTCTGAAGTTCAGACCTCCTTAAGACACCAGTCAGATTGACTTTATTTTCTCTTAATTCTACTTTAGCACTTTAGGAATAGTTGCAAAACAGAGTTAAGTTTTTAGAAGATATACTTCTAAACGGAGTGACCCTGGAGGTTATTACATTCAGTCAAACATCCTTACCTGACTATTCCAGTGAACAAAGGGGAGTGGAAGAGTAACAGAAAAAATAAGGTGTTAACCAAAAAGATAATTCCCAAAGCTTGTTGTCTTAGTTAGAGTTTCCATTGCTGGGATGAAATACCATGACCAAAAGCAAGTAGAGGAGGAAAAGGGATTGTGGGATATTTGTACACTGTAGATATATTTGTACACTGAAGATATATTGCTGTGAAGGTTTACTAAAAAGTCGAATCAGGGGGTGGTGATGCGTGCATTTAATGCCAGTCCTTGGGAGGCAGAGACAGGCAGATCTCAGTGGTCTATAGAGCCAAGTTCCAGGACATGCAGGACTGTTACACAGAGAAACAGTGTCTTACAAACCAAACCAAAAGAACTGAATGGCTGATAGTTAGGCAGGAGGGACTTCTGGGCAGAGAGAGGAAATGGGAGGAGAACATAGTTGTGAGTGAAATACCAAGAGACACAGAGAGGAAGCAGGAGGTACAAGATGAAAGAAAGGTAAAAAGCCACATGGTAAAATGTAGACTAATAAAAGCAGGTTGATTAAAGTTCTAAGAGCTGGTGGAACAAACCTAAGCTAAGGCTGAGATTTCATAATTAGTAATAAGTCTCTGTTGGTATTTGGGAGCTGGCTGGTGGGACAGAAAAAAACTCATGACAAAAGAGTTTATTTGGCTTACAGTTCAGAATTGCTCTTCGTCTCCAAAGAAAATCAAGACAGGAACCCAAACAAAGCAGGAACCTGGGAACAGGAGCTGAGGTAGATGCCATGGACAGGTACTGCTTACTGGCTTGCTTCTGCTGACTTGCTCAACCTGATTTCTTATAGACCTCAGGACCACTAGCCCATGGTTGTCCCTAGCTACAATAAATCAATGGGGTGGGCCCTTCCCCATTGATCACTAATTGAGAAAATGCATTATAGCTAGGTCTCCTAGAGGCATTTCCTCAACTGAAACTCTTTCCTCTATACCTTTAGCTTGTTTCGGCTTGACACACAAAACCAGCCAGTACAACTAACCCCCTGTCAACATGACATACAAACATATAGCTATTAAGCCACACCCTTCCTTTCTTATTCATTCCAAAGATATCAAATTAAAATCATAAATAATTTTAAAAGTACCAATCTTTACAGATTCAAACACATTAAAGTTGTAGTCTTTTTTAAAATATCCAATATCTCTAAAAATCCAAAATCTCTTTAAAAAGTTAAAGTCTTTCAACTGAAGTGATGTAGGAAGTCCTTTTGTGTATTTGTTTCTTTTATTGGTTAATGAATAAAGAGTCTGGCTTGGTCTGTGATAGGGTAGAGTAGAGCTAGGTGGAGAAAACTAAACTGAATGCTGATAGAAAGAAGGCAGAGTCAATGAGAAACCATGAAGCCACTAATGGAGACAGATGCAAGCTACCAGCCAGAGCCTTGCTGGTACACCACAAGCCTTGTGGTAAAATTTAAAAGCAAAAAAACATGGAGAAGAGTTAATTGTAGATGTGAGAGCTAGCTAGCAGTATGCTTAAGCTATTGGTCAAACAGTATTGCAAATAATATAGTTTCTGAGTCTGGGCATTCAGGAAAGGAACAAGTGGCCTTGTTACAACAAATTGGCACCCAATGTAGGGCTTAAACCCACGACCCTAATATTAACAGTCTCATGTTCTACTGACTGATGATTTTGTATCCTGTAAAGATTTGTCAGTTGTATTGCTTTAATAAAACACTGATTGGCCAGTAGCCAGGCAGGAAGTATAGGTGGGGTGACAAGACAAAAAGAATTCTGGGAAGAGGAAAGACTCTGCATTCGGCAGAGAGGAAGCAAGTTGAGAATGCCTCACTGATAAAAGGTATCAAGCCATGTGGCTAACACAAACAAGAATTAGAAGATAATTTAGGATGTAAGAGTTAATAAGAAATCTGAGCTAATAGGCCAACCAGTTTATAATTAATGTAGACCTCTGTGTGTTTCTTTCGGGCTGAATAGCTGTAGACCAGGTGGGACAGAAACCTCTGTAAACAAATGGTGCCAATGTGGACAGATAAATCCATTTAAAACCTGAGAGAGCTTGGGAAGTAATTCTAGACACAAAAGAACAGAGTTAAACATTTTTTTTTTGGTAGCAGCATTTTTTCAGGTGCGATATGTTTGCTAGAGACTAATGTGTTTCATTTAAGAGAGATTTCCTGACTCAACTGTAGCTGCAAAAACCTTGCAGCTCTTTTAAAAGTCCTCCTACTACAAAACACCTAAATGATGCTGATGAATAGCAGACTGTATCCTTTATGGTGGTGGCAGGAACCTTGAAACTCCATAGCATTGTGGCAATAAACATGGCTTTGTACAGTACCTCCACCATGAAGTTAGACTCTCAGAAAGCTAAGGAATGGGTGGATCCAGCCGTCAAAGCCACAACTTTAATCCTAGCCATATTGCTTAGCAAATTAAAGACTCATGTGGTCAGAAAAAGAGGGATATACAGTAAAGATAGATTCAGACAAAAAAAAAAAACTCTAAGTGGTTTATAGTGTGTTTAAAAATATATGGAAGTTTGTGAGAGAAAAGAAAAGGATAAAGTCCTTTAAAAAAAAAAACAAAAGAGATTAGTTGGGTCTGGTAGCACACACCTTTAATCCAAACACTTGGAAGACAGAGGAAGGCAGATCTCTGTGAGTTCAAGGACAGCCTGATCTACAGAGCAAGTTCTAGGACAGCTAAATATGCACAGAGAAACCCTGTCTCAAAAAGCCAAAAAAATTTAAAAATTAAAAGAAATAGAGTTTAAATAAAGATGGAAAATGCACAGAGAGTCTGTATATTATTGTGTTGTCTTTGAATTGTATGACTGCTAAGGAAAGAACAACAGCTGCTAAAAGACATTTGTTTATAAAGGCTGCTGGATTAATCCAACATATATATTTTGAAAATGCCTTGAATTCAAAATTTAAGCCGAAAAGTATGTAACTTTGGAGAAGAAGTTTTGCTTTTGTTTCCACAGGAAATGAGAGACTGTGAATTCATTCTGGGGGAAAAAAAAAAAACCACATCAGGTTTGATCAAGGACAACCCCCTGAGGAGTCTTCGCTAGGAGCAGATGGCCCAAATGTCTGAGCTGTACATACAGAACAACCTCAAGACTGCTGGCTGAGATGAACTAGTCTCACAGAATAATCTAGTCAGGACTTGATCATAATTCAAATTTTTCTTTAGGTCCCCATAAGATTATCAGCACTCCCAATCAGCAGGAAGTAGCCTGGAAAACTACTACGTCCGCATTCCCAAAAAAATGGATTGTGGATGTTTTTCTTTGTTTAGAGTATTGGTTACAAGTTGTTATTGACAATGATCAGGAAGAAAGCTAAACAAAGGAGATTAGATTCAGAGTTCTTATTTTGACGAAAAGGGAAGGAAGTGCTGTGGGACAATGAGCTTGTACCCTGTAAAGATTTGTAGGTTGTATTGCTTTAGTAAAACACTGATTGGCCAGTAGCCAGGCAGGAAGTATAGGCAGGGTGACCAGGCAGGAAGTATAGGAGGGGTGATGAGAAGAGGAGAATTCTGAAAAGAGGAAAGACTCAGTCTGCAGTTGTCACAGAGAAAGCCAGACACAGAGGAAGTAAGATGAGAACACCTCACTGATAAAAGTTACCGAGGCACACAGCTAACACTTCCCAAAAGATTTCACCTCAGTGATGCTGGTGTCTTCTTCATCACCGCTAACTGCTTAGCTCCAGCTGACCAGCATCAAGTGTCCCAGTCATGTGAAGGTTTCACTTTGACATTTCTGTTATTGTTGATCACAGCTGATTCTTCAGTCCCAGCCAACCAGAACGACAGACTCTTAATTCAAAATAACAAATGACCCTGATAGAGTCTTTAAACTTCCCTCTGAAACTTCACCAGCCAGGCCTCTATCCTCTGCCTGCTCTCAACATTCTTATCTTCCAAGTTCCCACAGAACATCCCACAGAGCTCTTAACACTTGGGTTCATCTAGTGCAAACTTCCAAAGTCTTTCTGTAATCCTCTCAAAAGAATGATCAGGTCTGTCCCAGTAATATCCCACTGCATTGGTATTAAAATGGTAAGATATTTTATTCAAAC